TTAACATCATTGATACCATCTAAAGTAAACATCAGTTTAACTTATTAAATCTTCAAGAAATAATCTAACTGTTTTCAAATTAAACCATTTCGTTTGATTTAACAATTTAGACTATTAAGTAATTAAATTTCTTGGCAAATGCTTCTCAAAATATTTTCTGTGAAATTTATTTCGAATTGATACATTCAATTCTAATTTATTTTTAATTCTAAATTTATTTTTAATTCTATATTCAATTCTAATTTATTTATTTCGAATTGATACATTCAATTCTAATTTATTTTTAATTCTAAATTTATTTTTAATTCTATATTCAATTCTAATTTATTTATTTCGAATTGATACATTCAATTCTCTTTACATACCTTGAACGGTATCTGTAAATTTCTTCTAAACTTCAATAACCGATAATCTTCAACCGTTATTAGCTGAGCGCAACTTTCCGGTTTCTTTGCTAATAGCAGCTGCCTAAAATATGCCATTAATTAATTTTTGATTTTTAATCAACCAAACACTTTGTGCATGCATTTACAATATAAGTTGCATATTTGAAAACTAAAAAAAAAAAAGAAATCAGTTAAATACAGTCATAACAGATCAGATCAGAGTGATGAAGGATATTAACAATGGTAGGTTTTTGATCGGGAAAAGACCGAGAGTTCTTCTTACGAGAGTTCTTCAAAAAGATTTATTGAAATGACTAACTTGAATTTTGTTAATAGCTCTTCTGTTTGCAGTGTATTATTGGATTCAATAAACGGTGATCGATAGTTTTGTAAATCGATAGCAGTATTTGTGGATATAGTAGTGTATGCCTTTGGTTGATCATAATCAGGATTATCCACAATACAACCACTATCTCGAATTGGTAATGATACTTTTCGTTTTGGAAGTACTGGTAATGAATCACTCCGTGGCATACGCCAATGCAATTTGTTGACATTAAAACAAGACGCAGTTGTTGGTGACGATAATGTGCTACTTGAAGCTATCAGTTCGTTACGCATTGAATTTAACGAAGTTAATGATAATTTGTGATTGTGCAGATGAGATAACTTCGACGTTGACGGACTTACAACATCATCTTTTCCCATCGTTGAAACTGTTGTCTCCTCCATAGTATCATAGTCTATTTTGGAGTACTGAAATTTGAAAAGAATATTTGGGAGTGGGAAGATGAAGAACTAAAACTTAGGAAGTCTTTAAATGTTCAGTTTATTTTTTGCATCTAAAGATTGTTTCTCTTAGAAAATAATATTATTCTAAGATAGCAGAATTTACCTCATCATCTTCTTCTTCTTGAACAGGTGAATGAATTGGTTTTGGCAAGGGTCGACTGAGTAAATCTGATAATGGGAGATGTGATTTTCCGTTAGATGATATCAATGAAGTAGGTGACGATGGTTGAAGTGCTTTTAACTGCAACTGTTTTCTTGTTTCATTTAAAAGAACCTCTTGGGTTAATGATCGTTCTTGACCTGAAATGTTTTCATTAAACGTTCTAATTGTTCATCTCGATTCTAAAACTTCACCAAAACAAGAACTACACATAATTTCTGATTGATCGTATCAGAGTGATAATTGGGAATTATCAGCGAAAGCATTCATAGTGTTACGGGTTAGATGCAAAAATCACGAACTATGCACAAAGTTAGCTTAAAGTTTACACTCGAAAATTTACCGTATTACCGTACAATGACTAATATATTAATAAACTTACCAAATTTAATCATTTTTGGTCGGATGATTTTCATATAATTCTGATCAAGTTCAGCTTTTAACTCAAAATTGTGGGTCGCAAAAAGTGTCGTGTTAGGTACGGGATTCTTTATAATGCAACCACTATTCCGAGTGATTGGTTTGTTATGTGACTGATAAAATGTCACCAAATCTGGCACATTTTCGAATTGTTCTTCTTCGAACTGCAAGACAATTATTTTAGAAAAATGATCATAACTATGAAGAGATTAGTCATAGTTTCAGAACCCTGCTCTATTCCTATTTGTCGAACCTCTTCCGGAATTGAAATCGATATACTTCCGGTGTACTGACCACTGATGCAGAATATCATCGATTTATGTAACAAACTTCTAAAAAAAATGAAGACATACTTCATTTTCAGCACTCATTAGTCATTTCTATGAAAAATTAATTCAAACTTGAAAAGGGATGTATTGTTTACATTAGATATTTTTAGAAAATTATCAGTTGCTAACTTTTTATTTCTCATTTATTTGAAGAAAATTATGTTTAATCTAAGGGGCACTAACTGGTCAGTTTTCTAATGATAAAGGTTTTCATCGTTTCCTTAAGCATTCAAAGGTTAACAGACCTGAGAAGGTTTGAAAAAAGGTTAGATGTTTGTTTAATAATTATTTGTCATAAATTAAGTAAATATATATATATATATTATCAATAAGCAAAATCTTTTATTCATTGCAGCTAATATTCGAAGTTCAGGAAGTACCCCACCTCCGTAATCCCTTCCGTAATCCTTTCATTCCACGATACTGTATTTTCATAGAGTATGGAAATGAATTTACTCTCTATGTAAATGCCATCTTCAGGAGGATTCTACTCCCACACAATAAAAGATCGGTATGTAAAAAATTAATTCAAAATTTTTAGAAATTAATACAAACCTGAAAAAAAAATCCACTTGAGCTGAAAGGTGACGGGTCTTTGTTAATTTGAAAATGTATGGCATGTCCATTCCAAAATACTGTCAACACATAATCGCCTTTGAACGAAATACTATCACGAACCTTTGATGAAACCAAATAAAATTAGGGAAACTATCCTTTAGAAATTCAACTTTCTGTGTTTATTTTAGCGGAATTTTTTAAAACTTAACTTTTAGGAACTTTAACTTTCTGTCAAAAATTTCTTGAATTTGAATTTAAAAAAATTATGCTATTATATCATTCGTAGCACTCAATCATTTCAACATTTTAATGATTCAAATTTAGCAAATTCAAGAAATTCTCATAAAGGTACTCTTCTTATTCATCGATTAGTTTGTTTAATAATTAAATTTCAAGGATGGATCGTTAACAGTGATGGAGAATGATTTACTTTTTTATAGGAAAAAGAGCAGTTTTAGGTGAAATGATTAAAATTTATTGATTTTTTCATGAATTTCAATTCATGTTAGTAAATTCATAATTTTAAATCGAAATTCAAATTAAAGTTCGAAATTGTCTTTTGAAATATGTAAATTGTTTTAGTGGATTTTTTTCTAACATTTTTGTTCAACCAAAGTGAAGAAGATTGAAAGTATCAGGGCACTGACATATTATTTATGCGTTCATTACAGTGTACTTGACCAAAGGTCATCCCGATGTCAATCTCTCTCTTATATAATGACCATTCCTCAAAGGTTATACCAATTCGTCCTTCTTAATATCTGTATCAGTGCATTCAGTGCATATCACTAAGTAATGGACATATAGAACGGCAGTATATTAAATATGATTTTAACAAGGACAAATCTCTTTTAAAACTTACCAAGAAATCTCCTTCAGATCGAACAAGACATTCGGATCGCAATCTGGTCAACATGCCGTGGTACCAGGTTTCTAATCGTAAAACAGCTTCGTGAGAGGGACGTGGTATATCGTACGTTGGCGTGACTGCCGCAACAAGTGACATTCGCTTGAAAATGGAGAAACTTTTTTTTTTTTTTTTGAATTAAGAGAATGCTGCACTTCCGGAGTTGAATTTGTAGGAATGACTGTATGAGAGTTACATAACTGTAAATTATCAAACTACATAAAAGTGCACACTTCATCACATCAAATTACATACTTCACTGATCTTAATTAATAATTAAATGACATTGACAAGTCCATTCAAACATAAAATATGCGGAAAAACGAATAATAAAAATTATCGATATGACCTGTAGGAAACGGCACAATCATTCTCATTAAATTAAAATTTCGGAATTAAAAGTGTTCAGTCTTTTTACATGTTTATGGCGTATTGGTAAAGTGTCCTCCTGTCTCAAAGATTTCCTGAAGTGAGTTACTGGTTAGTACGGTAGAAAAAACAATGTGATGCAAATAAACGGAAAGGGATGGATGACAAATAAACATAACTTTTAGTTTTCCTTTCCTCGAATAAGTTACCTTTTGTTACGTTTTCTGTTCACTAAAATGCAGTCAATGATAAGAAGAATTGGAAAAGGTTCCTGTTATCAGTTAAATGATGATGTTTAATTATCATTTCATAAATCGTCACTCGGTCAAATAGGTCGATCCTGTGAATCAGCTCAACCCTTTTAGGTTGACATTCATTGCGGATGTTATTATAATTAGAGCACCACTATATTCATCGCAAATTCAGAAATATGTGACGATTTCAATAAAGAAAATACACAAACCATTGAATATTAAGACCTAATCAAGATCGAAATTTTAATTCCTTACTGAATCCTTGAGTTGAATTTAAAATTACAATGATATTATTGTTAGAATAAATTAAACTGAGAACATATTTCGATGAAATTCATCTACTGATTCCAATTTCAGATTCTTCATTCCATAATAAGCATCCGGATCCGATCAAGTAGATCAGTCTTATGAAATTTTAGTCTGCTTCCTATATTATTTGATAATATGAACGGAACAATTTTGCAAAGATGTGGCAACCATGAAAACTTTAAATTATTAAGATGACCTGATAGTTTTTACTGAAAGATTTAATGACTGAAAATGATTAATTATATTATTAAAAATTAATTATATCATTCTCTAGTTAAAAGGTGTATACCATACTGAAAAGAATAAGCCAGAACTGCAACCGTAAACGGAATGATAATCAACGATTAATAGTTTGCCTTCTCCTATCTTTAAATTGAGGTAAGAATTTAGCTATGATTGTCACCATACAGTATGCCAGTATATCTCGGGACATTTAATAATTGCACTTTCTCTCTCTAGTCTGCGTACTGACCATAAGTCTGGTTCATCCAATGTTTCATTCGCAAAATGTAACCTTTCAACTTAACGCAATCTAAATAATAGCTTTTTAACCTATTAATACAAAATCATTAGCTTTCCGGAGGGGTGGAATCCGACACAATGCCTTCATTGCTCCTTTGTAATTCTGGAAGGCAGTAATCTGGAGTAGAAGCCAAAAGTTAATTCATTAAATGACGCATACGTTGACAACATCTATATCAATCTTGCAATCTTTCCCTTTTTATCAACTAATTTTGTGTGAAATTTTAAGACATTAAAAACATTCTTGTAGCTATTGCTTTGTCAACTGTGAATAAAAGCCTGAAAGTAGAATGTTTACTGGCCAAAAAAGGCAAGGGTAATATCGAACCAAATCCTGTCGCGTATTGTCACAGGCTCTCATACCTACAAGAACTCACCGTTCATGCTTATCGTTTGTATGCCTCTAATACATCCTATAACTTTTGTTACCAACTGTCAGTGAATTAATTTCAAATTGATCAGCAATAATAATGAAGGAAACTTTGCAATATATCAAAAGATGAAATGAACGATTGAATACATTTTTGTGCTGATGTTAAGTTAGAGCCAATGATAACGAAATGGAAGTTGAAGTGATAATATTTATCAATCAAAAATATAAATTTCTCTTTAATATATTTTCATAAATTCTCAAATTTTCATGAAATAAATGAAGACTTTGTTGTAACAGAAAATTCAATCCATTTTCAAAAAGTTCTCTAAATTGAAATTCACCTAAGAAAATAACTTTTAGTAATTAGAATGAGAAGGAATGAAAGGTAATGTTTTGCAATGGTAATGTCCACTTTTTACGATATCTCGAAGGGAGAACATTCGTTAGGATGTTAGTTGATATGAGAGAGAGAGAGAGAGAGAGAGAGAGATGCTTACTGATATGAAAGAGAGAGAGAGAACTGATAGGATCAAAGTGAAAAATGGAAAAAGTTTTTACTATTTCTAACATGTTTCTGTGTCGTAAATGGTACATTTCGATTGTTAAAATATCCTATTTTGGCTCTTTTTTATATTTTGTTTTCATAGGCCAGCTGAAGTGGGATGAAATGATAGCTATGCCTAAATGAGCCTAATTTCAATTTGCATGTTTCTTTGCAGATTACTTCTTGTCTATATAAGGAAACTTAAAGCCATTCTTAAGTCTAATGTTTGATGCAAATTTTTCATTGAGGTTGTATATTTTTTGTCTGCCACAACTCAAACATAGCAAAAATTGAAATAATATTTTCAATAAAAATTCAAAAGTTGCAATTAAACAAAGCGCTCAATTAAAGTAATTTGTTTGCATAATTACAATACTACACGCATTTTCGTGCATGCAACATTTAGTCTTTCATTATACAGTGCATTATAGTCTGCAACTACGTGTGACAAATGCGCAAAAGTTTTTTTTTGAAAGGCTTACTCATACTTGTATATCCTCATACTGTCACTGTCTTTCAGGAATGTCTTTGCAGGATGAGTCCATTGAACAAATATCAAAATATAGGTTTTATCGTATAGGAAAAATCAAAACACTTTCGTACAAAAGTCTTCTAAGAAGAAAGGCAAAGAAGGAGTAAAAAAGTTTGATACGTGACTTTACGAGAGGAAAGAGTTTCAACCAATACGTTCCTATATCACGTGGATTCTATACTTCTCGTTTTTAAAGCTTTGCGAATGTTTCACAAAAGAGAATACGCTAAGGGTAAAAGTTTGATGAAAGGTAAAGAGCGCTTCATATATGTTGGCTGTGTTGTTGCTAAGTTTAGCAATTTATTTGACCACTGATGAACGTACAATTTGCGCATTCCTATCTTTTATATGGAATGTATTGAACAAATATGTTTGGAAATGAATAAATTTCTTTTAAACATCTAAATTACAACTTTAAAATTATGAATTGAAATTTTGTTTGAATTCAATTTCCTCCCAGTTAGCTTATAATATAAGATCAATTTAAAGTTATTCTCGTTTATTATAATGAGAGCAAATCCACATCTTAAATCCTAAATCCTAAATTCTAAATCCCAAATCCCAAATCCTAAATCCCAAATCCTAAATCCTAAATCTATACCGCGGTATGATGTAAGATAAAAAGGTCATTGGCATCAGTACTATACATTAAGAAAGATAGAACGAAAATGTTATATTTCGCTCAAAAATGATAATAATATCAGAAGTTTTGAGCGGTACGATGGTCAAAGCAGTAGAGGTCATTAAGGAGAAAGATAAAAAGGATGGAGAAATATCAGAGAAGTATGAAATACGAAAGATGAAGACAGGAAAGGAAATATGATATCGTGGAGGAAAGTGTCGAAGAATATAAAATACGTTAAGAACTAGTACGTAGACCTAAATTGATAGCTGTGAAGAAAGAAGAGAAGAAAGTAAGATGATGATTGAAAGGAATGTTTTCTCTCTCTCTCTCTCTCTCTTTTCTTGATGAAATCATCTGTCATATGCTAACAGAGAGATGGTCAATATGAACAGGGAAGACTGTCCATACCGAGAACGATAATAACAACAGGAAACCAACCATTCAATCAACCTGATTGACATTTTAAGAGATGGTCAGCTCAGCTACGATAGCAAACATTCTTCCACTTACCCAATGGGCACTTTTTCATCTCACTATCCAAATAATTGCTTTTCTCTCTAAAGGTAAAAGGAATGAGAAGCAATTGGAATTTTAAGAGATGCAATGATTCAATGAATGAGACGAATATATCTGTCGTGTTGTATGTCCAACAACTTTGGATGGGATGACCTTCATCAAACTCATTGCTATGCCAGAATTCTTCCGTAATTCAGGATACACTTTTTCGGAATGGAACACATTTCTTACATTCAAATCTTTTTTTTTTATTTTTTACAAAATACGATTTATACAGTAATTAATTAAGAATAATTGCAATAATTATTATCCAATTATTGCTTCTTTCTTTGATGAACTTTTTCCACAATCTTGAATTCTGTTTAATGTATGCTTAGTTTAGATGGTATTCCACTACTACAAACATACTGAAATCAAAGATTATCACTACGATTCAAGATAATCTGATCATCAATTCAAATTCATCCACGCTACTACTGTAACCGTCTTTACTTAATTTGTAGTCAAGGTACATTTTCTCAGCAGATGGCTTAAGCCATTTCAATCATTTTTCTTTCCTTAATTAAGCTCACTTAAGATAGAGTAGTAATGGTTACTTCTCGGTGATCCATTTATCAAGCAGCTCTCAATTATGATATTCATAAATTCTCAATTCACAATGCTATGAAACAAGTATGATACGATCAAATCAATTCAACATCGTATCACTCTCTACATGAAGACCTTTATTTGGGCTAATACTGGTTTTCTACTTTGCAGGAAGATGAAAATGTTAATTCACTCATATCGTTGCTTCTTTATCCTTTCCGTTATGTTCTCTCCTTTCACTGTTATTTCTGGGAATAATTCTTAATAATTTCCTAGATTTCAATTACCTGTGCATGGTATATACTTTCTCTTCATACTTACCTTTGTATACATACCTTCTGTCCTTCATTAGTTAAACTTATGAGATAGCCGATAATAATAATGCAACAAAGAATCGAAGCTCATAATTCTAAATCATTTGATGTAATGGAATTTCAAAAATAAATCATAAATTTTCAGCAATATTTCGAAGATTGTGGCAACTATAAGGTAAAAAACAGGGCTATACCTGTTATGCAATTAGGTCACCAACCATATAGCTTGGTTGACAGACAAAAGTGGACAAGAACATCGGCTGTATATTTTTCAACTTCAGTGGAATTAATGATGAACGGAAAGGAAAAGCTGATAGTTTCATTGGGTAGCAGCAGTTTTTGTGGATCACAAAATCATTAGTTATTGCATATCTGCACTGTCAGTTTTTTCTTCTCTCTCTCTCTCTCTCTCTCTCTCTTTTGGGGAGAGAGTATCTATAATGTCTCTCTCTGTGATGAATTGGAAAGGCAAATGGATGAATAGCTTCTCGGTTAACTTGAAAAAAAGAGGGAAAGAGGGTCAGTACAAAAACTGGACAGGCGCAAGGAACGGAAGTGGACACATATACTGCAACCATTTTCGGCAACATTAAATTTTGCATGCAAAACTTAATTTTAGCAATTTTTTCGTTTGAAAAACTTTCACTTTAATATGTACCAAAGAAAGGAATTGGAAGTGAAATAAACTTTATCTTCAAAAAGCAATGATTCATCATGAGAAGTGTCATAGATGATGTCATGGATTATTGTGATAGATTCCCTTGTTTCATGTATCGGGTTCCCTTTCAACTTTCTTCATTCACCATGAAATGCTTCGCATATTTAATCAAATGAAGCTGATTCAAACTCTGATTATCATCGTTTACTTATGACCAATTTATGACACTCTTATGCTTGTATTATCTACTCTCGAAAAGTTTTCAATTCTTTACAGATGTAATGTTATCACATAAATGGAATAAACAAATATCATTTTGATTAAACAAAGTCTATCAAATCGTTATTAATGCATCAGCAAAACGATTGGTTGATTAAATGACCAATGCAATAAATAATGATTGTTTATAATTCCATAATTCAAATCCTATCAATTAATTGAAATTTAATCAAACTATTTCATACTACTGGTCAATTTCTGTCCAGTAGGCTTAAATAGCAATAAAACAATGAATTTTATCCGTTGAATTACTACTGTATTTAGCATATTGTATGATGTTCGATTCATGTTGTGAGAATGAAAACAAAAAAGATCAGTAGACTGAATTATATTTCTTTCCATCAGGAACTCTCGGACATATTATCAACAAGTGAGAACATGTTCCATGCATTAAATATGTATTTACATCCATAGAATGATCTTGACAGGAAAAGGATCCGGAAAATTAACAATAAATATTAGTTGGAGGAATCAAAGAAATGAATACACGGTACGAGTGATCGTGAATAATCTAGAGATTTCGAGAAGGTCCATCTTTGTCGTGGAAAGTTGTTCAGTTCTTTCAATCTGCCTTCCAACATTTTATTTCAGTCAATTATCAGACTTCCCCTGATATGCACTAATTTGTTGAGGAAGAAAAGAATGATTGCATGAAAGAATGTAAAACTAAATTGTTACAAATGGGAACTGAAATAGCATACAAATTAACTTTCCGTATAAGTGTGAGCTAAGATTGATATCACATACCGGAAAACGGAAGAATTCTCGATAACGATGAAAGATGACACATCTTTTTCAATATTTCATTTTACACATTTTCATAGAATGAATAATATCGCTATGACACAATGATGTTAGAAATAGTAGAACTGCATTGAAGGGATTTCAAATTGGAAAATTTGAATAAAAAGAGGCGCAAAAGTTTTCAAATCATATTCCTAAAGTCACATATTGTCAAAAGTTATCAAAAGATATAATATTTAAAAAAAAATTTTAGAGGAAAAAAAACTGGATCCTTAAATATTTATGGCCGTATTTTAATCATTAATATGAGATGTTTTCGAAGTGAAATGCGCCGTTTCCTTTTTTTTATTATCAAAACTCTTTGCTATCCTTCTTACTTTTGTTGATAGTTATATAGATATTTCACTTTAATTTCTGTCACACCACAACGAATACTCCACAACATTCCTATCAGTTACATATGTATATGATTAATGAATACTGATAATGAGAAGGCTGATAATGAGAAGGTCTCCTCAGTTTAACGTATTCCTTCTTTCAATAACTACTATCAGTTCGCTTAAATCATAGGTTAACAACGATTGCATAAACTTTTGTAATATCTTGTTATCAATACAAACTGTGTATGTGTGTGTGTGTGTGTGTGTGTGTGTCGT